GGGGGGGAGGAGGAGTACAATGACTTGTCACTTTAATTTAATGGGACTTGACAGTCCATAAATGTTGACATTTGCATGAGATCAAATACTTTAATGGAATAATGAGGACCCACTGAGCAGTAATTATATTCAGGTCCTAGTTAACAGTAATAACAAGGTTTACCTTTGGCTTCGGTACAGTCTTTCTCCGAGAGAGGATTGTTTTCCCCACAGAATAGACCATGAACATTACGATGAGAACAAAAGGAATAAGGTTCATCCAGTCTTCTCCTGACGACCAAATAAGAAAACAACATGTATTAGTATTAGTATTATGCCACAAAATGATTAAAGGTTTAAGAAACTAAAAAACAAACTTTTCTGCACAACAATCAAGACAAAATAATGATTGCAACTTCCGTTTTTCAAATCTAAAATGTTCTCTCAGAACATCAGGATCGAAAAATGCGTTATTACTCAGGATCAGATATATAAGATAAATCTGATTTTAACAGTGAATATGAATACACTTTTATCAAAATTCACACTTTATCACAAAATTGAGAGCGCACCTTTCCATCTCTACATATGTATCCCAGGACTCAATATTTTAAAGTACCCCCTGGGGTGGTGCCACTGACTGTAGTGTCTTTAGGCCATTCCCAAAGGGGGGACATGTCTCGTTCAAGCACAGTAGAATTGTAAATGGGCTGATTCATCATGTCACGCTCATTATAACTGCCTGATCTGCAACAGGGAACTGCTGCTTTTTCTTTCCTAATAAAATCCTTACTATTGTCATTTTCCTCTACTTCTTTTGTATATTTGTCACACTCTTGTGACCCGCTATTTCCGCGGAACCTTGATAGTTCCCCCCCCCCCCCCCCGGACAAATTTTTAATGAATAGATCTACCGGTCCGAGATTTTCCATTGAGAGATATTAAAAACTGGGGAAAATCATGAATTCCTAAGGTTGAGACATAAGCAAAGTCAGTCCGCTGGTCCGATATTCTTCAATCTTACCGAAATAGATCTAGAGTTCAAGTTTATTTTCCCGAGTGTTCGAAGAAATAGAACCGGCCTAAAATAAATGAGCTAGAATCTAGATCTCTGTAGTTCCCATCCCGCAATTGTTATTCGCGGGTTTTGGCGCCAAGAGTCGGTCGGGTTCAGGAGGGCAAGCCCCCCCCTCACCTAATAAAAATAAGGTGTGGGGGTTTCAGGGGGGGCGTGCCCCCCTGATTTTCCCATAATTTGATGTTTTGCAGTTGTTAGGTTTGATATCTTAGCTCGCCGCGCATCAAACTTATAATAGATCTAGAGTCTAAATGTAGATCTAGGCTCAAATAAGGGGGGTGGGAACTACCGAAAAAGCACAGATTCTAGATCTAGATTTAGATCAAGAAAATCTAGGTCTAGAATCTTTCTACCTCTAAAATCAAATGTAGTGGCTAGCGCTAGCCTGAGAGTCAAGCCGTACTTAGCTAGACTGCCAGTCTACCGTACTTAGATCTAGGTTTAGCCCTATCGACTCGAACCTGTTGAGTAAAGAGGTCTCATTAGATCTAGATCTCTAGATCTAGTAATTATTCAGGTTTAAATGATGTAAGTCAGTTTAGTCAGTAAGGCACCTTTTAGTTTTGTCTAATACAATTTTATACTTTAGGCTTTGCAAACTAAAAATTTCATTTACAATTCAGCCATCAAGTAGGTACCAGAAATTAAATTTTCAAAGTAGTTGTATGCCAAATTTATCTGTTCCATTTGAAAGGCCTATATCCACTGAGCATTTTGGTGCCATTCTTTAACCTCTCAGTCAATTTTTAAGAAAATGGTAGTTGTTTAAAGTTTGATCAAATTTGTTAAAGTCAGTCACTGGCTGCAACCCCATATGTTTGACAGACAATAAAAGAGTACCAAGTGCACTAAACATCTCCACATTAACAGAGTACAATCACTATGACAAATACATGGAGCCTAATTTTTTTCAAGACTGTGAGATCATTACAAATCAGTATTGTATTACATCAAACACGATGATCTGTCATTATTTCGACAAAAACACAGAGCGTTGACACGGCCGGCGCCCCATCGGCCCCCGCGGCGAGCGAGTCGGCTCTACACTGTAGTGTACCCCACATGCGTGGTCACATGCTTTCCCAGTCTCACGGAAGGATTGATGAAAAATAATTCCAAGCTGATTACTTTATTCTAATAGAAAATGAACTGATCTTTTAATTAAACTATTTTTTAAGCCGGAATTTTACATTTTGTGTAAAAAGTGATCTTTAAACATTTTGACAGCATTTTTAAAAGCTTTCTATTTAAACGCCAAAGGCCAAACATATACGACGGGAAAGCCCGTTTAAAGCTCTACAGTTCTCCGCCAATGAAAAGACGGTATTTAATCATCCCTCGTTCCGCGAAGCATTTGAATGCACGCGTGTCAATTTTTGACCCGGCCGACAACGCATTCCGACCGCAAGGGGCTTCGCTTTCGTCGGCGATTCTCCAGCTCCTAATAATCGGACATATATAAACAACTTACACCATTGTAACGAGGAAAAGCTGAACTTTTACAAGGTGTAGGGCATTTGATGTTTTATAGCGAAAGAGCAAAGAAACAGCGATCGGAATTACCCCGATTTCACCGATACCACACGGTCGGAAGGCCGCGAGTGCCCGCGAGGCCTTACGCTACCTACATCAAGTACGGCTAGCCTGACAGTCTAGCCGTACTAGCCTAGCCGTCTAGCCGTACTTAGAAGTCTAGCCGTACTTCTCTTTTATGCCCTATTAACATTTTAAAAAACAGGAGGTTTAAAATAGATGCACTGTCATAAGGCACCTGATTTCGTCTCAAATACAAATTATTACAAATACTTTAGGTACTGTAAACTAAAAAATTATTTACAATTCAGTAGGTTAGTCTAGCCATCATATTAAAGAATAAGTACATGGCTAGCCCAGCTGTCTAGGCGTGCTAGCCAACCAGTCGCTCTAGCCTCTAGCCTAGCAGTCTAGCCGTCACTAAGTACGGCTAGCCTCTTCCAAAATTAAATCGAAGTGACTATTCGGACTCGAGTCCGAATATATGAAAAAATGTTATTCGGACTCTGGTTCTTGTTCAGCATGACATCACTTCCGACTTCCTGTGACTCGTGACTCCGGCTTCCTGTCCTGCCTCACTCGTGACTCGCTTCAGGCTGGGTAGAGACCGGTATCACTTCGGGCAAAAAGGCGTTTTGTGCAGGAGGTGAGTTTTTATCTTGGGAGTGTATACAGACCCGGTAACCGGGAACAAAGTCACAAAGTATACAGACCCAGTAGGGGAACTCTTTTGTTTTTTCGGAAAGTTTCAGCGCCCTCTTGGCTCAGGGAAGACCTAGATCTAGGTTCTTCTAGATCTGTGGCCTAGGTCTAGATCTAGACAGACAGACATAAATCATTGATCTAGTTTCGAGGCTAGCCTAGATCTAGATCTAAATGAAGATTGTGGATGTCTTTTCGAAGAACGATCGTTTTCCCTCCGTTTCGGAGTTGGAGGAATCACTATTTGAAGAAAAGAACAATGCATGATAATTTCAATCGAGCAGTGACCCTCTCTATTTCTCTGCCTCTCTCTCTCTCCTTCCCTTTCTATCTTTCTCTCGTTCCCTCCTGCCAACTGGGGCACATTTTGCTAGCACTTCTCTCTCTCTCTCTCTGTCTCTCTCTTTCTCACACACACACACACACTCTCTCTCTCTCTCTCTACCGGGTCTGGGCGCTGAAACTTTCCGAAATCACAAAAGAGCTCCCCTACCGGGTCTGTATACTTCGTGACTTTGTTCCCGGTTACCGGGTCTGTATACACTTCGTTTTATCTTATGATGAATTTGAGGCCGGCCTGAAAAGTTATAGCGCTTCTAATAAATGTTTATTTGTCAAGAGGTCATCAGAAGCAATTAAAGATGGCTTGTTAGCGTGTGTCGGGGTCGGATGGGCGGCCAGCACACGTGTGGCTGTCTGCGTGTCGGGGAGGGGGGTTGGGGGGCACTATCGGTTCGGGCGTTGAACGTCGCATACGCGTCAGTCTCCCCCCCCCCCCCCCGGCAACTGATCATTATTACAATAATAAGCTGGTCTTGACGTAGATCTACATAATGAATTGTGCGCTGGTCAATGGAATCAAAAGTTGCTGTATGCTCAGCTCTACACAGCAACACAACTTTTTCTTGGTAAACAATCGAGATGACACAGGGTGACAGGCTTGTGTATTTGAACAAATCGGTCTTTTTTTTTTTTACACAGCTCATAATATGCAGGTGCCAGGTGGTCTGCTAATCTTCAATTTTACTTTTTTCTACAACAAAGAAAGAGGGAAACATGGGGGGTGGGGGGGCGTATCAATGAGGCGGCAGGCATCGGATCGGCAGAAAAGGTGTGGGGGAAACTAAAAAATGGCGGAGAATTGGAAGCTCTGAACGTTAGATCTAGATCTATAGAACGAAGACACTTCCTTTTTTCCTGACCCGAGTCCGAATAAAAATTTTTCATATTCGGACTCGAGTCCGAATAAGAATTTTTTTTATTCGGACTCAAGTCCGAATATGACAAAATGTTATTCGGACTCGACGGCCAAATTAAATAGATCTAGGGCGATTGTTAACCCTGGAAGCGCGCAGGCCCTATATAAAGGGCGTGAGCCGGGCTACCCGGGAAGCGCGCACGCCCTATATAAGGCTGACCTACTTCGACCGGGAAGCGCGCAGGCCCTATATAAAGGGCATAGACGCTGACCCTTTTCAATGGAAAATTCCAGTGTTCCTTATATGGAAAATGACGTAGTCAATTACAGGCCAAAGTTATAAATAGTGACCAATGACTTTGCAAGTTATCTTGACCTCGTAGAGCGTCTCTTGGCCGAGATATCGATCGATAAAGTGACGCGGTCCCGCTGAGCGACTACACGCTATGTGTTATCACTATTTTCGCCGTGCTGATGTACTAATTGTTGAGTCTATCGCGTTCTCGGCATTGTTTGTATTTATTTGATCGCTGATCATTTTTGAATGGCTCATTCTATCAGCTTAAAGAAAATATATGCTTTTATATGCTTTTTATCATCCGTTGAGCCGTAAATGGTCATTTTAGGGGGAGGGATTATTTTCTGGGGTTCCCCCGCCCCCCCCCCCCCCCCCCCCAAAAAACCTTGTATATATCTATCCGCGCGGGCGGGGGGCGTGTTTTGTGGTGTTTTTTGGGTAAAACCATACCTTTTCTGTGTATAATCTCCCGCTCTATTCCG